CCGTTGGGACCAGCAGCTCGTACCCGACGCCCACCATCAGCTACATCCCCCACGCGCAGCCATTCGCCGGCGACCACCGAGTGCAGCTGCGCGTAGGTCGCGGCGCCTCCGCCTTCAAGGAAGAACCGCAGACCGTGCCCGAGGCGCGCAGCCGCGACGCCACGCCGCCGGTGTCTCCCATCAACATGGAAGACCAGGAGCGCATCAAAGTGGAGCGCAAGCGGCTGCGGAACCGGCTGGCGGCCACCAAGTGCCGGAAGCGGAAGCTGGAGCGCATCGCGCGCCTGGAGGACAAGGTGAAGACGCTCAAGGCCGAGAACCTGGGGCTCTCGAACACTGCCGGCGTCCTCCGGGAGCAGGTGGCCCAGCTCAAACAGAAGGTCATGACCCATGTCAGCAACGGCTGCCAGCTGCTGCTAGGGGTCAAGGGACACGCCTTCTGAGCACCCCTGCCCCGCACGGACATCCCACCCCCCAGCCTGGACGGCTGGGCGCGCGCCTACCACCGGGTGAGGGTGCAGGCGGTGGGCACCCGCCCCGGGGCATGGGGACGCCGAAAACCACACTGGACTCCTGCCCGCCCGCTCTGCGCCCAGCCCTTCCACCTCAACGTTTACAAGCCCCCCTTCCACTTTTTTTTTGTATTTTTTTTCTGCTGAAAACGAACTCGATTCATATTGAATATAATATATTTGTGTATTTAACAGGGAGGGGAGGAGGGGGCGATCGCGGCGGAGCTGGCCCCGCCGCCCGGTACTCAAGCCCGCGGGGACACTGGGGAGGGGACCCCTGCCCCCTGCCCTCCCCCTCTGCACCGTACTGTGGAGAAGAAACACGCACTTAGTCTCTAAAGAGTTTATTTTAAGATGTGTTTGTGTGTGTGTGTGTTTGTTGTTCTGACTTTTTATTGAATCTATTTAAGTAAAAAAAAAAAAAGGTTCTTTATTAATTTCTGTTGTCTTTTTTTCCAAGCCGGGCGGGCGGAGGGGGGAGAGGACGGGGATGCCCCCACCCCGCTGCTGTTTGTGGTTCGCTTCGGTATCTGTCCCCTCGCCCGCTCTGCCCAAGCACCTCGCGACCCCAGCCCAGCCGGGGTGTCCGCCCCGCTCGCGGTCCCGGATCCCGGGGCCGGAAAGCCCAGGGCGAGGACGCGGTCCAGCCTCCCCGCACCTGGGGCAGGATGCCTGCGGCCAGACGCGCAGTGCGCAGGCGCGGCCCCACCCAGGCGCGCACGCCGGGGCTTTCCCTGTTGACGCAACGGAAGCGCTGCCCTTATATGGGCGGATTCTGTCCAGTGACGCGACCGCGGTCTCCGGGCAGATTCCGGGAATCCCCTCCCCCGCTCTGCCCGGCAAGGGCCGCGGCGCCCGGAAGGAGGCCGGGATTTTCCCAGGCGGGCGGCTGCCTGGGCCCGGAAAGCCCCAGGCCTGGGTCCAGGGCGTCCGTGGTGGGTGGGCCGCGCTTCCGGGTCCAGGGAGCCGCCCCAGAGCCTCCCTCCCCCGGCTGGCGCCCGGGCCCCGCCGCGTCCACGCTGTCAGACCTGACCAGGGTGGGGTTTGGCCGCTGCCCATCCCTTTGCTAAATCGCATCACCTCACCCGTGCAACGAAGGGCCCCGCCTTCCTCTACATGTGCATTCCAATTGTCAAGAGAGTTTCGAGATTACTGATGAATGTGATCTTACCTGGCCTGCTAGACATCATTTGAAACCACA